TCAACAATATTAACAACAATTATCAATGTAAAAGAGATAGAGATTGAGAAATCATACCCACATGAGCAAATCCACACCAATTGTTAAACAACAAACCAAAACCAAAAAAAAATAAAAGAAAGACAAGAGTAGCAACCACAAAGATTCAAAACAACTAGAATAAGGAATTAGAACAAGAAAATCAAAGAGAAACAACAACAACAACAAAAACAAAATTTTACCTTGGTTGAATTTGAAACCCTAACTGAAAATCTCTCCAAAATTGATATAATCACTTGAAATTTCAAGGAATAGATGCCAAAAACGGATTCTACTCGAAAAATCAAGTGAGAAAAGTGTTAATTGAGTGAAGATTTGGGTGGGTTGTGAGGGATTTAGAGGGAGGGAAGAGAAAATTCGAAGGGGTAGAGAGAGAGAGAGGAGAGAGTTTCTGGAAAAAGGAAGAAGAAAGTGAGGAGAGAGAAGAGGGAAAAGAAGAAAAAGAGGCGGAGAATTTTTTTTACACGTATGGCGACCGGTCGCTTTTATACAGATTTGAAGTTTGAAAATTACACGACTCACGACTAGTCGCTTGGTTCGCACGCGCGACTGGTCGTTTTTAAACAGACTCTTCTGTGACCGGCTGTTCATTTTTTTTTTTTTTCCTCCTTGTGCCGATCATGAAGTTTCTTCAAATCTCTTTGCCATCTACTCAACCCCTTTCGTATTCTTTTCTTTTTACGTGCATGAGTAAACTTCAAAAGTAATTTTAGGCGCTCTTCAATACGTGGATTAGATGGAGGGGGCACATATTCAAGATTAGGTAGCCTTCTCACTTTAGTAGAAAGGATGGCATTGAACATGTGATTGGTGCTTGGAACATGGATGTTCAGCTTATCTTCCTCTAGTACTTCAAAAACAGAATAAGGCATTAGATTAATTGAAGCACCTAAATCAATTAAAGCTTTTTCGAACAATTTATCACCAATAATATGAGGAATTGTAAAACTTCCTGGATCTTGTAACTTGGGAGGGAGTTTCCTTTGCAAAACAACAGAAACCTCTTCCGTTAGTGCAACCATTTCATAATCTTTGAATTTCCTCTTGGTGGTACAAAGATCCTTCAAGAACTTTGCATCCTCCAAGAGAGGAATGTTGACTTGCACCTTCCTGAAAGTTTCCAATATGTCCTTGGCATATTGATTTTTCCTAGAACTCATCAACCTGTGAGGAAAAGGAGCATGTAAGATATCTTCATCAGTAGGTTCATGACATACCTTCTCCTTCCTTGCCCTTCTCTTTCATGCTTTGGGATCCACTCAGATGAAGAAGCTGCTTGTTTATCTTCCTCCTCTTTGATTTCATCATTTTCCTTAGGCCCAGTCACTTGCTCAACCTGTAGCTAATCATCATTTTGAATCAAATTTTTAGAATCATCAATTTCACCATTTACCTTACTAGTTCTCAAGGTAACCGCTTGAACATGCTCACGCCCAATTGGATTAATCACAGTTTGGCTAGGCATCATCCCAGGTTCCTTTTGACTCAAAGCTGTGGCAATTTGCCCCATATGATTTTCTAGATTGGGTATGGCCTTATCTCTCTTCTGCATGTGGGCGTCATTCCTTTGCATGTAGCTTTCTGTCTCCTTCATGAAAGTATATGTGGTTCTAGCCATAGAAGCAAAAAGTTCTTCCAAAGATTGTCATGTAGGTTGTTGGTGAGATTGGCTAAGTGGTGGTGGATTGTAATGTTGAGGTTGACCATGAGGTGGACAAGTATTATGTTGGCCTTGATATGGTTGATATGGTCCTTGTTGAACATTTGGATTGTCGCTCCACTAGAAGTTTGAATGATTTCTCCACTCCGGATTGTATGTTTGTGGGAAATATTCATTCATAGGCAATTCATTCTGAAATGAGCCAAATGCATTTGTTTCCTCCATCACAAATTCATTGAAATATTCTTACATAGTAACTTCCACAATTTTAGCTGCGGCCACCATTGATGATGGTGGAGGTGACTCGTCGGATGTTCCTGTAAGAAAAGAAACAAAAACAAATCAAGAAGTAAAAAACAAAATGAAACAACAAACAATAAAAGAAAATAAAACGAAGTACTCTAAATATACTCAAACGAAACAGATAAACAGTTGTGCCAGTTCCCCGGCAACGGCGCCAAAAATTGTTGTACTTTCTAATCGACAGAAATTAATGTGCAAACAACCAATTAAAAATACACGCAAGTGCACGAATCTATTGAGGTATAGATTATGTAAGTACGGGGTCGATCTCACGAAGAACTGTCGGCTTCCTATAAGTTCTAACTTGAGTACGTAAAGAACACTAATTTAACACCACACAAATGCACAAAACAAATTGGAAACTAAAAACGAGTAAAGAAAGGTAAAAGAAAAGAAACAAAACAAGAAACCAAAGAAAAACACAAACAGCACTTTCTATCACCCTTTTATCACCACTGTATCACCTGTTTATCACCTGTGAACAGTGTCTGGCGTCCGGTTGTGAACACTGATGACCGGAAGTTTCCTGGCAGATTGGCTGGCGACCAGTCGCCTTTTGGGCAGATTCGTTGGTCTGTTTTTCCAGTTTCGACCTTTGTCCGATTTTTGACCTATAACTTTCCAACCGTTTATCCGAATTTCAAGTTCTTTATACGGTTGGATTCCGCACAGAAAATGGAGGAACTCAAAGCAGACCAAAAGTCAAAAACAATTACGGAAACAAATAAAATTCAGTAAAGAAAACACACAATGTTTCAAACACACACACACACATTTGGGTGGGGAGGGTGGGGGGTTTGAGTGACCTATTTCTAATGCTTGAATGTAAATGAACTCTAATTTTAACAAGACTAACAAGAATGAAAATCAAAATGTGAAAGTAAAATGAAACAAACACTAGGGTTTCGGAATCCACCCTAAACAATTCTACCTATGTTCATGGACACTCAAGTGATGAACTCTAAATGTGTTGATGAAGATGTTCGCAATCAAGACCAGGACTAGTGGCTCAACACGCATTGATTCTCCCTAATATACGTAGAGTGCAAGGCTAGTGCTACAATATTTGTGCCTTCCCTATAACCAAATCTAGGTGTGCTTAGTACTTCGATTCAATTACAAGAAAAACCCATGAAGTTCAAAGAAAATATGAACATCACAAGAGCCCTAATAGCATGATGTTTACATTAGGTATTCAAGAAACCAATTCACATGGATAATTCTTACTTCATCCATTTATTTCTTAGGAAAACATGAAGATACACATAATCCCAACAACCTCAAGAAGCATGCTTTCAAAGATGATCAATCAAAAAAAAATATACATCAATGATAGATTATTTTAGTGAATGGAAATTCATCAACAATATCTAGAAATTCATACAATCAAGTACCAAAACAATAAGGTATTCATGTTTAGGGCTTCAACCTAAGCCATAGCTATGGAGTTTAGTTGCTCATACATATTTCAAATACAAACTCAAAATAAAACTAGAAAGAGTTTACAGATTTTGTGAAAGTGATGAAAGCTCAAGGTCTTCAATGGTGGAAAATATCTTCCACTCTTTGCTTGGTTGCCCTTTTCTTCTTCCTTGAGCTCTCTAGCTCCAAGCTCTCAAAAATCTCTGCAAAGTTGTAGAATGAATGAATTGCAGATTGCACATTCATTCTCTTTTGCCCATCATTTCCAGCTCATATACTTTTTAATATAAAACTCTTGCTTTTGTTAAAGCCTTAAGCCTTTGTCTCCTTGCCATGATGGGGTATTTTTGTTCTTGTCTTCACAAAGATACTCTTTGTTTCAGAAAATATCTCTCAACCACAGTAATTTCTTGTTACCAAATGGTATGGTAACAAAAAGAATCTAGATGACACTATGGAGGTAAAAACTGGCCCAAGACAAATCTCTAGAGCTGCTGTAACATGTAGGATCAGTTGGATAGGCTATACTTGTCCAATGGAGCTCAAATTTGGATATGTTGTAGTTAACATCCATTGGAACAAGTTTCATGAAGATCTTCACCTCATCCGAGCACCAGAGCATGCTGATCCAAGGCCAAGAAGTTGACCTACGAAAATGAACAAAATCAGAATTTATAACCAATCATGCACTTTTAGCTCATTTTCATTCTAACCAAGGTAAAACCTATGAAAACACAAATAGGAAGTAAAAAGCTATAAAATGTCAAAAACTAACTCAAAATATTAGGTGAATAACATGATAAATCATGTGTAAAAATGAATCGAACAATTTTTCGAGTAGAATCCATTTTTGGCATCTATTCCTTCAAAATTGTAGTGTTTATATCAATTCTAGGGAGATTTGCAGTTAGGGTTCCAAACCTACCAAGGTAATTTTCGAATTTTTTTTTATGTTTCTCTTGGATTCTCTTGCTCTAATTCTTTCCTTTACTTGTTTGTGTATCTAATTTTTTGTTAATTTTGGGAAGTAGTTTGCTTCAACATTGCACACTTTGAACCTTGGCTCAAATGATTATTCATTTCATAACATGTGATTATAAACATGAGTTTGAAAATGCATACATATATTTTTAGATCACATGTTTCTTTTCACATTCTAAGCCACCTGAGGCATCATGCTAATTGCCTCTATTTGCTCTTGCTTGTAGAACTTGCAGTAGCTCTTCATGGTCCATATTTCTCTTTTGCAGTGTTTCTACATGCTGGTTGGCACAGTAGAGCCGCTTCTGCAAGTTTGCCACCTGAGCTTTCAAGGAAGCCACCTCCTCACTTAATGTTGCACACTCCCGCGTCCTCGCCAGTAATCGCATGCCCAAATTTGAAGACGAGACCGCGTGGAGCACAGTTAAAGAGTGGGACTCCTCCAAGCAAACTTATAATTCAATCACATCTTTTTTGGATACTATGAATAATTTTATGTCATTGTTTCCTAGCTAAGACTACAAAGTTGTAGACAATCCGCCAAATTCATTTTGTAATGGTAGACAGACGCATGAACAAGCACCAGAAAGATGATCTACCGAGCCTCTATTGTTGTAATGGAATTATTCGCTGAACACAGGCGTGTCCTTAATGGTGATCCAGAGACACTTCGTTCAGTGTAAAAACCAGGCTGTTTCGGTGGAGGCAAGGTAACATCACTGCTCAACATTAGAACCACAGATGACATGCTTGGTCTATCTTCAGGTACTCTTTGCACACATAACAGCGCCACATGAAGACACCTTAACACTTCAGATATGGTGCACGAATCACCTAATGTCTTATCAATCAGTTCCAATGGTTTATCTTCAATCCATAGTATCCATGCCTTCAAAAATTAAAACATATACGATATGTTATTATGGTGACATTTCATTGAATTGAAGGAGGAGCTTAGAAGATTGCATCGCCTAATTCACTAGTTTCTTCAAAGTAAAATGATAGTACTTTAATGCTTTATACTAACATGTCCAAGAAGGTTAAGGTGGTGATCTGGATGAGAAAATCCCCTGTTCTTCTTCCTACTCAACATCTCCAGCAGTATAACTCCAAAGCTAAAGACATCAGATTTCATCGAGAAAATTCCCTCTACTGCATATTCGGGAGACATGTAACCACTGCACAATCAAAATACAGTGAGTAAGAATTTCAACAAAAACAACACAATGTAAAATGTAAACCATAGAAAATATACTTACTACGTTCCAACCACTCTTTTTGTATTACCCCGACTTTGATCACTACCAAATGTTTTAGCGAGGCCAAAGTCTGAAATCTTAGGGTTCATATTATTATCAAGCAGGATATTGCTAGCTTTCAAATCTCTATGGATAATCCTTAATCTAGATTGTTGGGCATGAATTCATATATCAAGATTTTTTCCTCTTCTTGAACGCAACAACCCAAGAGCTTTACAAGATTGCGATGTTGAAGTCTTGCTATCAGTATAACTTCATTTTTGAACTCTATCATTCCTTGCCCGGAATTCTTCGAAAGCCTTTTTACTGCAATTTCTTTCCCTCCGATCAATGTACCCTATGGATCATCATTTATAAAAGTCTTAAAACTTGTATCACAGATTAGCTCACTTTAGTTGCACAAATTTATGTTACCTTGTACACAGGTCCAAAACCACCTTCTCCCAGCTTGTTGCGGCTTGAAAAGTCATCGGTGGCTTTAGCTACGGTGCTCAAATCAAATAGTGGTGGTAACTCCATGTCTTCCCTGTCTTCTCCAAGGTAATCTTTTGTGCAATCTATGCTTCTAACTCCTGAAATGACAAGGAGATCTCCTCAGCATGGATAAATAGATGTGTAAGAATTATATTGGTTAATCAATAGGTCATATCACAATATGCCATGTGTCCCAATTTAATTGGTTAAACGCGAAACCCTAAGCCAAATCTTGGAACACAAGAAAATCACACACTATCGAAACAATCTAATGCAAATTTCAAAGTAGAGATACTTGGTTTTATTTTTTGTGCCAGAATTTTACAATCATGTATTTGAAAGAATGCAGGTCCGCGTTTGAGATATTTACCTTGGCTTCTGAGTTTCTTGTTCCGTATATACAATATCAATCCAATTAGTAACGTTGCCACAAGAAAAACTGCAGAGCTGATGAGAATTCCAGGTAACTTTTTCTTGTTGAACTTGCTCTTTTCCACAATATGATCTGAAAGATCACAATTAAAATAAAACTTTCATGCAATTCAGTAAGCAATCTTGCATTTCGCAGTAATTGTGAATCTAACACCAACTTATTTTAGCCATACTTTGCATAACTGCAGACGAAGCAGCAAGGCCAACCGAGGAAATAACCACCATTTGTGGACCTAGATCTAGGTAAAGCTCAATACTTTTAACTATGCTGCTTCTAACTGCTGCCCCCATCAAAACCCCACCCAAAAGAAAAACATAAAAAGTTGACAAAAACTCATTTTCCCTTAACCTATAAATATATTGTGACAATGTTATCCAGTTTGGCTAGAAAAACAAAAACAAGATCAAATAAAAGTCTAAGAGCTACCAGGTTCTGAAGCTGCCATCCGTACATAGAGGTCTTGACCACCACCGGAAGTGAATTGTCTTATGTCAGTGAGGTTGCCAAACCAAAGCAAACAGCCAGTTCCTCCCTCCCTGATATCTAAATTTGCATATGCCGTACATGAGCAGTTTGCCAAGCATAATCCCTTACATTCCTTGAGGCTCATGCTCTTATCAAACCATGAGGAAGATGTGTCTGGCAATTTAACACCAGTGTACTTTAGGAAGCCATCTCCATAGCTGCAAGCCAATGGAATCTTTCGAACACACCCATCAGACCAATCTCCCGAATTCCAATCTTTTGGAGATTTTAGTATAAATCCCTTCAAGCATGCACATATGGGAGAGACATTGATATTGCAACTAGTATATGCACCACACAAGGCATAATTCCCACACTGATCTGCTTGGAATGTAGAGGAAAGTTCCCAACTATGTGTTTGGTACACCCATCTGAATCGCTGCGCAATGCCTGATGGATTCAACATATATCTCAAGAACATGGACGTGTTTAGAAGCCTGTACTCATAATAGACCTCATCCTTGTTAAACACAAATTCATACCCAAATATTGGGTGAGGATATGGATATCCTGTCACATAAAGGCCGTTCCATGACCCTACTCTAGCCATTATCTTAGCTCCTTTCATAGTAACAACTTGTGGCAAACCACAGCGATCCATCCTTACTGAAAACTCTCCAGGAGCAGGATCGTCTGTGCTCTT